TTTGGCGGCGCACCGACGATTTTTTTATTTCTATGCATGCATATGCGCGCATGAAAACAGTCAATGCGAAAGGCATGAACCAGGGAGTAGTAAAATACCGGTATTTTCTACTCCCTGGCCTGAATAATAAAATAAATTTAAATAATTATTCCCGTAGCTATGCAGAAGACGTTACTTCAGTAACGTCTGGCGCTAGCCAGGGTCCACACAGCTCTAATTTGGTGTTTGTGTGTTTGTTTGTGTCACGCCTGGCGCTATCCCGTATCTGACGGCAAAATATCATAGGGATGTTATAAATTTTTAAATTCTCCTATTTTTTTCAGGCATATCCTGGGATTCGAACCCGCACTATCGCCCTACATGCATTCCCCCATACACTTCGCATTCATACCCATTCTTCCAAGTTGCTTCACGTTATGATCTTGCGTTTGAAAGCCCTATTTTGAATATTGCGGGCAGCTGTATGTGGCCAGCTGTGTTTGATGGTACGGTACGTGAGACGGTGTCGTATTACCCTCGATCGTACCTGTCCCGTACCTATCCCTACCGTACCGTACCATCAAAGACGGCTGGCCACAATGCATATTCAAATAGGGCTTTCAAATGCAAGATCATAATGTAAAGCGACTTGGAAGAATTAGTATGTATGCGAAGTGTATCGGGGGATGCATGCAGGGCGCGATAGTGCGGGTTCGAATCCCAGGTTATGTCTTTAAAAAAAAGGAATTTTTTAAAGACCGGGGGATGCATGCAGGGCGCGATAGTGCGGGTTCGAATCCCAGGTTATGTCTTAAAAAAAAAGGACTTTTTTAAAGAATTTATAACATCCCGATGCTTTTTTTTGGTCTAGGTCATCAAGGCAAAAAAGCATAGCGTAGGGCCCTGAGCTTCCAAGCTCTCTCGTATGAACCTGTGACGTACATATGTGTGACCCTATCTTTGGAAATAAAAAAATTGTGGGAAATAAATAAAAAATCGCTCGCTCGCACCGATTTTCACAAGCTCATGACCTGAGAATCAACTTTATTTTTTACCATGGCCTAACCACGGACGGCCTAAGGGGCCGTCCAAAGTTACCAATAATATTTTCAAAACGAAAAGTTTTCGTTTCGGGGTGGGTGGGTTTGAAGTAGTTTCGTTTTGAAAATAATTATTGAATGCAGATGGAGAATGCCCAGTTACTTCTGGGTATCGAAAATTGACATCAATAGGGCTTGAAAGTGGTGATGTCAGAAACGGCCTGGGAGTAGTAAGTTGACATCAGATTTCTATTTTGGATCCACTAAGGTGTGACTTTGCTATTGCCTCAGTATCTGGGTGCATAGCAACCCACTCATGTCGTATGCAGGTGCGACTTTTACTTCGTCACCAGTTGTCACCCCGCCCCCCCCCCCCCCCCCCACTAGCCAAATCAGTCCGTTTCACTGGCTACATCACCTTGCTGTGAGTAAGACCGCTTGAAATGTGCTTGGATCCACACAAAAACTGGATCCAGGTGGATCCAGTTTTTGAATTTTTCAAATTGTTGCTATGCCATTGCCATGCTGTGACGTAGCACTTTCAAGCCCTATATTTTATTGGAATTCGTTTTACTTGCAGAAAAGGTTTTGCTGAAAAATACTAAAACTTTTTGCTTTGCAAAAACTATTGGTAACCCCGGACGGCCCCTAAGGAGTTTTTGGTCGGTTGTCATGATGATCCATGTACGGGGTGAAAACGGGGGCAGAGGAAACGGAATACTGAAACGTTTGAACATGCATACCTCTCTCAGTCTTTTCTCGAGCGACCTTGTACATGACAGTGCGTTAGAATTTTCAAATACTTCCAAAAACGTGCCTCCGTGATGCTACAACCACCCTTTTTGGGTTTTTCACCATAGATATAATAGACGTAAACAGGAGTCAGAGAACGTAGTGTGATGACGGCCTTGTAATCATAGCGGCCAGCTTACAACTTGAAAATTGGACTGAAAGGTAGATCTACTTGTTGACCTAAAACTTAAAATTTAAGGGAACTCGTAAACAAACAGTGACAGAGCTAGAGGGGCATGAGTGTTCGTAGTACTCTGAATCGATACAGCATGCCTGAAAGTGAGTTGCTCATTCGTTTCGAAGCACATGGAAGAGCTTACAAACAGGTATTTTACAGGTTGCTTTCGTGCGCCGCGACGACAACGACAGTAAATACTTACCCATCCAATCAGGCAGCGGTTCCGTCGTTTCCATTGGCTTCGTAGCACAGAAGCCGTACGGGATAAGACCCGCCGTCAACAAGATGACAGCCACCACCAGCGGCGCCTTCACGGTCGACAGCGACATGGCAGCGGAGCTATTGTCAAGCCCACTTGAGCAAGCAGCTCGAGCCGAGGAGCTCCGCACTGACGAAAGGTACCTGAGCAATTCACAATCCGGAAGAAGACAGAACTACTTCGGCAAGGCAGTTTTGTTTACAGAACACTTTAGGTCTTCCACCGTGTAGTCATACAAGCACAGGCGTACTAGCAACAGCTCAAGCAGGTAACGACAATCAGGAAGGACGAGAGCTGGGACAGCGCTTGAACGACTTACGAACACAATGCCAGCAAGGCTCATCCACGAATTCTACGAGTAGCCGCGTCGGTCAGCAACGAACGTTTTGTACTTCAGTAGTTCTGATAGAGAAGAGACGGTGCTCTCGGTGATGTTTGAAATCTACGTTCACACTATAATATTATTGGTCCACAAATGTTGGTCATGGGAAGACCCACGTCCTAGGATCCTGCTCTCAGTACCTTCAACTTCAAGTAGTTGTAGGAGTAGTCCCCGCCAATCCTTTCTTTTCCGATGGAGAATTCAACTGATATTACTTCTGTGGAGGATATCCCAAGGCTAGTATTATTCGAGTTGCTGGCTACAAGTACAACATGAGTAATGGTGTAATGGCTAATGTCCTTATGAGGCAGGGCTATCTCTTGATCCTGCTGCATACAACGCCAACAGGCTCCCGTTTCATCACCCTGCGTGCACCATGGTGTACGAGCCTCGTACTGGACCGTAGCATTTGGCATGGTGCGGTGGAGGTGCCGGAACCCGCGCCCCGCGCGCGGTACCGATCGCTAGTAACGTAAAACGTCAAGGTGACATCGTCATGTCATGTGACACCTTTGCGGGAATTCCAGGCCACTAGTGTTGAGGAGGTATTCACCTTTCTCGTGAGACTCGATGCTCGTAAAGCTGAGGGCAGCGACAGTATTCCGGCATTCATCCTGAAGCATTGTGCAGCAGCCCTCGCCCCGTCGCTATCCATATTAATTAATGCATCCCTTTCGTCTGGCATTGTGCCCGTCTCCCTGAAGATTGCAAATGTTCGACCCCTATTTAAGTCTGGTGACAAGAACGCATCTCGCAATTACCGTCCCATATCTTTACTGCCAATAGCATCGAAGATCTTGGAGAAGATAGTCCACAAACGCCTGTGTGACTTCTTACAAACCCATTCACTTTTGCCCGCCAATCAGTTTGCGTACCGGCCACAACACTCCACGGAAGATGCCTTGACCTTGGCCATGGATCGCTATCTGTCGTCAGCAGACCACCAGCTACATACTGGCGCAGTACTAGTGGACATGAGCAAGGCATTCGATAAAGTACGGCACCAGCTCATGATCCAAGATTTGTTTGCTTTGGGTGTATCTTCGACTGTTTTGCGTTGGTTTGCGAGCTACTTCACGGACCGTCGACAGAGAGTAGTTCTGGCGAGTGGGCAGTGCTCGGGCCTAACTGCATGCGAGTGTGGAGTCCCTCAGGGTAGTGTACTGGGTCCTTTGCTGTTTTCACTATATACCATGGACGTCCATAGCGTCACCAGCCCAGCACACTCCCAGCTGTTTGCGGATGACATCCTTCTCGACACCGCAAGCAGATCCGTAGCAACCCTAAATCAAGTCTTATCAGTTGCTGTGTCAAACTTGGCTGACTACCTACACGGGAAAGGCCTGGTTTTAAACCCTGACAAGACGCAGGTCTTAGCCATTGAGGCATCACGCCGTAGTACCCTGGAACTCAACGTTAACTGCAACGGGACGCCTCTCACCCAGACCACCACTGCTCGCTTTCTGGGCCTACAGATCGATTCCTGTCTTCGGTGGGACGCGCAGGTCTCCAGCATAGTACGTAAAACTTCCCAGAAGCTAACCACCCTGAGAACCATCCGCCCGTCGCTATCTGAACGCCAGTCGCTCCTCTTCTATTCTGCCCTTATACTTCCTGACATGCTTTATGGATCAAACGCGTTCTTCTCTGCCCTCACGGCTCAGCAGCGGCACCAGCTCACTGTCCTCGACAAGCGATGTGTTCGCTGCGTAGCCAATCTGCCCTTCCCGTCCCATACCACTCCTATATACACTCGCCTTTCCCTGACCCCTGTAATTGAACGTGCCAAATGCAAACTCCGTTTCCTTATGCACCGTGTCCACACCAGCAGCATCAGCCCTCTTCTGAAAGATAGAGTAGCCCTCCAACCTCCCAGTAACACCCGTGGCAATGACAATTGCAAATACGTTGTTCCGCTAACTCGGCGAACATCTGGCGACAGCCGACCATTGGTTTCCGCCGTGAAGCTTTGGAACACCCTGCCACAGGAACTCACGTCCGCTCGTCGTCCAACCCCGTTTAAAAGATTGCTGAAAGTGTTTTTCTACGGTTAATATGGCCGAATAGCACCTCCCTCTGGCATAGGTCCTCATCTTCCTATTTCTCCCTGATTGTTACTTCGTTCGAACTTGACTTGTAATTACCGGTACAAATACTTCCTTTTGACTGTTTTCTCATTTTCGCAAGTGAAGCTTTATCGAGCTACACTTTTTATTCTATCGCCATCATAATATTGGGCATCAATGCCCGTTTGGTTTGCGATGTAAAATAAAACTTCAAACAAACAAAAAAAAAAACATATATGTCGACATCGATCGTTATCTACACTACTCGCAGTCCGTGCGCCAAGCCCTTGAGTAGCCAGTTTTTTATTTGCAACCGCGGGAAAAATCGAGGTGCAAAAAGATGACGACGACACAATTGTTTTGTTGGTATTTTGCAACCTTATTTGGACCTGAACTGGCGTGTGCTGGAGGAATCCTTGTTCATTACTTGGTTTGCTGCTGAGGTATGTCCCTTTGTCACCTATGGCACTTTAGCTGAGGTTCGTTGCGCCCAACTGTAGACCATGAAGACCTGTGTTTGCACTACATATTTTTTCGTCGTAATCGTACCATCAACTTGCTTGTCGTGCTGGAGTGGATAGCATAATCGGACACTCTCGGCTTATGCTCTAAGCCAAAGGTAGATATATTTGGGTTTGGATTCCCAAAGCACATCCCAATCAGGCTATGCAAAATGGAGCGGCCCACAATTTCGTGGAGGTATGTCGAATTGTGTGGAATTTTGCACTAAAGTAATTGTGCTTGAACAAGGACGTTTTGGCTGCTTATTTTCCTTGGGCATCTCGACATTGCAAACTAGTCCCCTTGCTGTTGTGTCTTCGACATCTAAACGGAATTTCTATGTTAGTCGTGTGGTTGGAGTCCAGATTTTAATCAAAATCCAGCAGTATTCCTGGCTGCTAATCTAGTTTGCTAAAGTTCTGGCTGAAGGTAGTCTGTTGAACTGTTTCTTTTGTATGTACCATGGTAGGACGTTCATTACATAATTATAGATGGAGTACATAGTCAAAGAAACTTTTTATGTAGTTTAGCACAACTGCACAGAAGTGCAGGGCCTGAAAGAAAAGCAAGAGCTGGAGACTCAGCGTCCGTAGCATATGCGAATGCATTGTGAGAGCATGTGTGTTCGATTCAGCATCACACACATATGCACACACACACACACACACACATACACACACACACACACACACACACGCGCGCATGCACACACACACGCACGCGCCCACACGCGCACATCTGGCGCTGGTTGGGTGTTGCATACTGAACATTCTGTACTCTGCAGCCCTATCTTGATCATGTGTGATAGTTTTGTCACAGGTTTTTGCCGTATTTTCTGGATTCTCTGTGCTTTCTGTAGATGGTCTTGTGCGCTCGTCATCAACAGCACTACACTACTGTAGGTCCAGTGGGCCAATCAGGCTGAACGGCATCATCCAGCTGTAACTGGGGTGTAGGTAAGTGTCTCTGCGTGCTCTGATGGTCGACTTGTGGCTTCTGGCCTTCAGTCATTGTTCTTGCACGGGACCTGCCTCGCATACCCTGTGGTTCACTCGTGTTGGCAGGCTGTGATGCACAGTGGAATCCTTGATGTGGCACTCGGTCTACATGTATGCTGTTGCACGCGACAATATTGCTACTGATGGGCTTTGGTGTGATGCTCTGAATAGATGTACCATGAAAGCCTCTTGATTGGTCTCCGCAGTACATTCGCTTGCCTGGCTCGTTTTTGTCGATATTATCCACTGTTGCAATGGAGAACTTTGCGTGAGGTATCTCTCTGTTCATTCCGAGCTCTAATTTCTTATCAATGATGGTCTTTTGATATCGCTTGTAGGAGTCGACACCTGCTGTTGCGCCGACTCGAGCTAGTACTCGCATGACCTCGCTATGTGCATCCACAAAGGCCGAAAGAACAAGCTGGAAAGGGTAAGTGCATGCTGGTGTGCTTGCATGCATCATGCATGATAGCACAAGCAAGCACCTGATCCTCTTTGCACGGTGGTTGGATGCTTGACTTCCTTCTGACTTTGATTGGCTGTACATCATCAGCCAAATGTATCCCCACAACTCACTGTCCACACTATCCACCACTGCGTCCAGCTTCATTTCCGACAGTGAAGTTAGAACGTTATGCTCTTTGTGTTTGAATTCTTGTGCTTGACTTTTGATTTGTGAGCGCATTGCAGCCGACAGCTCTGACACGAAGGATGATGGGCCACTGGGTTGGCTTGTGTGCTGTGTGTGCTGGGTTTCATTTTGTGCTCTGTGTTTCAGGGTCTGGGATCGTGCTACGGCGAGGGAATTGTATAAGCACAGAATGTCACACCCTGTACGGTACAGGAGCGTACCTCGTTTCTTACTGGTACCATATGACCCATGGCTGAGATGAGCGCCAAGCTTCGAAATAAGGCTGGACAGTAGCCACCGGTTGTTGCAGTCGATGGATGGTGAAGAAGAGGTGAAGAAATCAGCAGCCGTTGCCAGAAGAAGAGAACGGTTCTCGAGGAATGCAAGACAGACGAATCTTGCTGTTGCCAGCAATGCGGACTCCTCGGGTGAGGTGCATTGGTGCATTTCGTCTGTTATACTCTGCACCAGGCTCTCCAGCTTGAAGTCAGTAGTCTGACTGTCCACCATATCCAGTTGGCCTTTATAACAGGCTAGGCAAAAGGCACTATCCGCGGTGACCGTAAGACCACGCTCAGCGTGCAGCTGACGCTGAACTGCTCCGACGTTCGGACACTTACGCTTAACACCCCTTATTTGTGCGCCACACATGGTGCATGTGGGCCTGTTGCTGTCATGTAGCTGCATGTTATGCCGGTTGCAGAGACCCGCTGGCTGATCGTTTGCGTTTACTTTCACGTTAAGCTTCTCGGCCAGCTCTACTGCTTGTAATGAAACTGTGACATGCCGTGGCAAATCACAACCATCTACTGAGCAGTCTGGTATTGTTGCGGGTGCTGGTGCCGGTGCTGCTGCTGCTGCAACATGCTGTGCAGGCATCGCGTCTGTAGGCTGCACGTTGTCAGTGACAGGCATTGGCTCTGCTGAATGATTTATGAGCCTTTTCATGCATTTCTTGCAGATACATGCATTTCGTGGTATTGTAGGGTGATGTGCATATTCCCAGCATTGCGTGGTCTCGGGGTGGGCATATCTGCCATCAAGGGGAACATCTTGGCAGGCTACACATGGTCTGCATTGCCTGTCAGGATGCAGTTTCGAGCCCTGGCTTTGGCGGCCCATTTGGACTTGGTCACAGTGCGGACACTCGTGGTTTCTTCCTGGCCTATAGCAACACCATCTGTCCGCCCATTCGCGTAGTTTTATCAGAGATAGAGCCTTGCAAAATAAGACGGCCCACAATCTCCTGCGACGTATCTACGAAATGGGAAATTGAGAAGAGAAACAAAAGGGCACCGCAACGACTTGAGATGTCGAATATCGAGGTGCACTTTCGAAAAATGTGCTCATCGCTCACCCTTATAACACCATAACGGCGCAAAAGCAATCGATATAGGAGGATAAGCCTGTATTCTCGAGGTAACCAATAGTCGAAAATTGAGAATAATTCGGTATGTCACTAAATTCGTCTTCAAATTTCCCGCGGTTGCAAATAAAAGTGCAACTTTTAGACGACTTTTTTGAACTTGGCGCACGGACTGACTCGTACTACCGGTACAGTCAGTTTCAAAAAGATTACAAGCCTGGCGCGATCAGGCCGGGGAGTTTGCCGTCTTCATGGTCTTACCGTATGCGCACTCGAGAGCTGGCTGGAAAAACTCACTGTGAACTCGAAGAAATAATCCGCGCGAAAGCATGAAAAATGACAACTCACTCACGTCGGTACATGTACGTCTGGTCTGGTTTACAACAAACGAGTTCTTCCTCGTATCAAGAGTACTCTTGCTCGTATCGATATGGAGTCAGAGATCCGAGAGGACATGTCGAAAGCAGGGAGTGTACGACTCCCTGGTATTTTACGACTCCCTGGTCGAAAGTGTGGTAAATGTTGACGAGCGGGATGGGTCCGTTTCGTGCCCAGTTTCTTTGAGCTGCGATGCAATTTACTCTCACGATGTGACGAAAACGACATCGACACAGACTCATTCCCAAGGCCATGACTTGGCAAAGCTATACGTGTGACTTCGACGACATTTTGAGAAAAGCAGACGCCTGTGAAAGCTGATAGAAGACGGCGTTGACTCCTAAATTCAAATAAATTGGCGATCTTGGAATACTAAAATAATTCTCAAAGAGAAATCGATCGATCGATGTGCCGTTGTATTCAACGACACGTAGCTACAGCGCAATGCCTTCCGTGTTCACTCACACCGTTTCAGTGTTGTGGGTGTGTTCACATGGCGTGAACCAGTCAAGTGTCAGTAAGTTCGGCAGGAAACGCGAGCTCCAACAACATACTGTGACAACAAGTCGTTTGCGCAACCACCTTCTTTGGCTTGTACTTTCGCACCACGCGTACGGATACGAAACGAATGCTGATTCGTCCCCTGGGTTCGGGGATTCGTCAGAGTCGCCGCGGAGAGCTCGTTTTCACGTATCCTCTTTCCAACGTCTTTCCAACTTGAGCCATTCCCTGTATAATCCTTGATGAGAAGGGACCGAAAACGTTCGGATGCTTTGACAAGTGCCTTATTTTGACTGGATGTGTGTTTGCGTGGATACTTACGACCCAAAACGTACCTTCGTTATTATTATTATTATTATTACTAACTAGTGAAGATTATTATTATTATTATTATTAGCGAGGGTCAATGGTTCGAGTCCTGGTGGTGACAGTCAATTTTTTCCTCAGACTTTTCCCGTTTGTCTCTTTCCCTCAAACTAGTGAAAATTATTATTATTCAACGCAATAAATAGAGTAAGCTGCGCACTCAGTACAAACACCATAAGCAAAACTTGTTGACCCTTGTCAGCCTACTGCCTATCGACCTATTTCTCTACTACCAGTCGTTTCTCGCCTCCTCGAGAAGATCCCACAGCGAATTCGAATGTTATCTGTGTCAGGGGCTGGGCCTCTTGGGGTAATCAACAGAGCTTGCGTTTTCTTTTGGTTCAGCATTAGCCCGCGGTCCTCCAACCACTGCGACAGGCCAGTGATGGCTGTGCTTAGAGAAGAGCACACTTGTTCGCAACTGCCCGAGGCTTCAATTGCAATGTCGTCTGCAAATTCCTGGTTTGTGACCTGCTGGGGCAAGCAGCATCGAAGGTTACGGATGTATAGTGTGAACAGGAGGGGGCCGAGGACGGATCCTTGCGGCACCCCTCGACTGCATGCGACGTATTCCGAGCAATTTCCGCCCACGACTACGCGTTGAAGCCGCTCACTCAGGTAACTAGTGAACCATATCTGGACAGTACCGCCGACCCCAATGTCGGATAGCTCCTGTGCCAAGATGGTGTGTTTGACACAGTCGAAAGCCTTCGACATATCCACGAATATCACACCTGTGAGTTTGCGCTCATACTTCGCTTTCAGCCAGCGATTGACAGCTAGCACAAGAGCGTCCTCCGTACTGTGGTTCTTCCTGTACGCGAACTGCGAGTCAGGGAGAATACTGTGATCGGTCAGAAAGGATGTAAGCTGAGCTTTGACGATCTTCTCGAGGAGGCGAGAAACGACTGGTAGTAGAGAAATAGGTCGATAGGCAGTAGGCTGACAAGGGTCAAGGCCGCCACCTTTGAATAGCGGCGACACATTAGCAATTTTAAACTGACGGGGAACACACCCCTGACATAACGAAGTATTGAAAATGATGCTGAGCGAGGGAGCCAGTATTGATGCCGAGTTTCTAAGGACAATACCCGGCAAGTCATCATGTCCAGTTGCTTTTGACGCGTCAACGGACTGGAGAAGGGCCGTAATGTCCTCCGTCGAAACAGGCGCAAATTCCGTGAATGCTGGTGCTTCACGTTCGGCTGGTGCGTTGGCGCACAGCGCGTCTGGTCGTCCAGGGTCATGTACAACTTCGCCAAAAGTTCGGGAGAGGATTCCAACAGGTACTTGTGGTGGGCTTGAACTTTTCGCTCGTCCAGTCACCACGTTTATCGTATTCCAGAGCTTCCGTCCATCCTTTCCGGCCGACTGTAGGCGAGCTTGAAAATACTGATCCCTTAGCCTCCGATCTAGCTTGCGCGCGGCTGCGCGGAGAGTGCGGTGTTGCTCTCGCAGGCGGACATCGTTTGGAGAGCGTGAAAGAAGTCGGTGGGCCTTGTTTCGTTGACGCACAGCAGATACAAGTTCAGGACACAACCATGGGCAAGGTCGGCGCCTCGGCTTACGAGGAGGTTGTAAGGGGGCGTGAGGATCTAGAGCAGTAAAAACCTTTGCGTACCATTCGCTTATCATTGCATCAACATCATTCGACTTGCTGAAAATCTCAAGATTGCAGTCCTGCAAGTCAGCGTTAAAATGCTCCCAATTTATCCTCCACACTCGCCTCTTTCGAGATGCGACTCGTTCGGACTGCCGGGTGGCGACGATAATGTTGGCCACAAATGCGTAGTGGTCGCTGATGTCACACTTGATGACGTTCACCGGCTTGTACATTGTTTGGGACTCGTTTACTGCGAGGTCGTACAAAATTAATCTCGTTCGTAATCTAGTGGATCGTGCTCGTCGATTATGTTCGCCTTCAAAGTTGGATGAGGAGCTGGAGCGGCTACGCACTTTGTTTCGTTTAAATGGGTACCCGGAATATGTGATATCTAAATATGTCGTAGTTAGTACACTGGGTGGAGCGAAGGAAGTGTCCTCCGAGGCCACTCCGGTGTATCTTCGTTTGCCTTGGAAGGGTGAAGCTGTTTGCCGTACCATGCAACGTCGAGTTAAGTCAGCTGCAGAATCGAACTTTCGTAATGTTAGTGTCCGGTTCGTCTACACAACAGCTCGTGCCTTCATGGTGAAGAAGGATGTCCTACCCACTCTTAAATTATCACATCTTATTTACAACTTCGAGTGCCGGCAATGTGAGAGCCGGTATGTGGGTAGGACCCTTCAGCACCTGGAGGCACGGATCCACCAGCATGTGCCTCTTCACGTTATGCCTGTTGAGGCACGGTCGTCAAGGCCTAGACGAGGTCGTCCCCCAAAGATTGGTACTGCGACTGGAGGTGCACCCTCGCTGGGGACGGAACCAACTGGGGTGTCGTTGTCTTCTTCGTCGGCATCGGCTTGTTCGTCATTGCCTTCGTCTTTACCGTCTCTTCCTTCTATCCCGTCATCATCGTTGGTATCTGCGGTTTCGTCTTCTTTGACTTCCTCTGTACCGTCATCCGGTGTGTCCACCTCCGGTGGCAAAAAGCGTGGCCGGCCACCGAAGAAACCACCGGATGGTGTGTCTGCGGGACCAGTGACTCGCTCTAGGGCGAGGTTAGCAGAGTCTTTATCGTCTCCGTCGTTGTCGTCATCGTCGTCGTCAGCGTCTTCCTCATCTCCCTCCTCCTCTTCATCAACATCAACAGCCATTGGAACGTCAAAGGGAGCATCATCGCAGCAGGCAGTGCCAGCAACGGACGTGCCTTTGGTACGGACATCTACATCGGCCTCGTCTGGATTGGCAGTAGCGGCAAGGAATGTCAGGTCGGTTTCATTGTCACGTAATTCCAAAGTATGTACTGGTTCTAGTAGCGTTGTTAGGGTGTATGAATCTTCTATCGCCAACCATCTTGTTCAGAATAGTGATTGTCGTTCTAGTTATGCTGATGATTGCTTTTCTGTTTGGTCTCGTTCACGTAGTCAAAGGTATTTGCGTGTATTGGAGTCTATTTACATTTTTACCACCAGGCCGATTTTGTGTAGGCAGAAAAAGAATTTGTTTACGTTGAAATTGTTTGTAAATTTAGATCAGTAGTTCTCGTTTGTGGTTGCTTGGTAACTTTCTAGTGGTGAATTTATCGCATTTGTTGTCACCTGATATCGTTGAATGGTGTAATGTTTCTTTCAGCTCTCATTTTATCGCGCTAGTTAGGGTCTAAATTATTACTTGCATTGTGCGTATATATATTGAGTTAAGAGCTTTTGTTGATTTGCCAGCAATCCTCTGATGAGATGGCGACGAAAACGTTTAGGAACAAGCTTATTTATTATACATGAAAACAAGTTTTGCTTATGGTGTTTGTACTGAGTGCGCAGCTTACTCTATTTATTGCGTTGATTACATTTTTATCTCCACGGAAGCTTTTTAATTATTTGAAGAGGAGACATGATAGATCTGAGATTGAAATTCTCAACAATGCGCTGCAGTGTCGCGGCCGTCTTAACAATGTTCTTTGTAATCACTCTTTTTTGCGTGATTGTCTTAAACATGGCGTAACACCTAAACGTATTCAGGCCCGTGTTCGTAAATGTAAGGTGCATG